TAGTAGTAGTAGCAGCAGCACTAGTAGTTGTCGTCGTCCTCGTAGTAGCAGTAGTAGTAGTAGTAGTAGTAGTCGTCGTCGTCGTCGTCGTCGTCGTAGTAGTAGTAGTAGTAGTAGTGATAGGGGCAGTGTGTAGTACATAGCAAGGAGCAAGTAGAATGTAGCAAATGTAACACGTCTGGTGGTGGTGGTGGTGGTGGCGGCGTGAGCAGGGGCAGCAGAAGCAGCAGCGGCGCTACTCCGGTAAGTTACTGCCGTCAGCTCTCCCATACTTCTGGTTAGGATTTAGGGTTTAGGGTTTAGGGTTTAGGGTTTAGGGTCTAGGGTTTAGGGTTTAGGGTTTAGGGTTTAAGGTTTAGGGTAAAAACATGCAACCTTAATCAACTTACAACTTCACGCGTCTTACAGACGAAGTGCGAACCTTGACAACACGAATACCATCAGATGCAGAATCTTCAGCCAAATATCCAAAAGCATAAGCAAACCCTGAACCCCAGACCCTAAACCCTACCCTACACCCTAGACACCAGCCCACCGCAGCAATCCGGGGCCGCAGCTGCATCTGCCTCGGACATCCTGCCCTGCACATTTGGGAGCTTAAGGCCTAAGGCTTGGGTGGGGGTAGGATTCGAGTTCAGCCGCAAGTCTCCACCAGCTGGATGGCACTTTAAAACGGTTTGAGGTCGGTCTTGTTGCTCATGACTCTGACACTGACTTGCGACAAGGAGTTTCACCTGCTCTTCCCGCCGAATTCCGACTCTCGCACCGCATTCGGCACCTGTTCCAAGATGGCATCGAAGAGTTCTCCGCCCTTGCAGCACCTGCGACACAAAATTCAATCTTGGGTGCTTTGTGCAGTGTGGTTGTGCTGGAGTGCTGCACAGAAAGAACCAGGAAGTATCATTCCCAGCGTTTGATGCTGGAGCAGTGCTGACGATGGCTGAAACTGTGAACATGCTGTCGTCTTCTCGTGAGAGAGCGAATCGACACTTCTGCTCAACAGGTGAACGTCGCACTTTGCGGTCACGGATCCCACTGTTGGGTCGATTGCCCCCTATCTTTTGATCTGATGATTGATCAGTGCAGGCCAGTGGGAGAGAGGTCAGCGCTACTTGAGATCAGTGGGGCCAAGCCTGATTGTCAGGGCTTGAGAATTTCAATCTGGGGATGTCTGTTCATTTGCCAGCTGGAGTTTGCCGATCGTCCATAGTTCTTCTCATCCTTCGGTCGTATCCCACTCCGCTGACTCTTGATCAACAGGTGGCCACTGCAGACTGGGAACCTATCTCCTGCTACACAGTAACATACCAGCATCCACAACACAAAAAAGGCGCAGCACAAAGCCTTTTGCACATAATTTTGGCTCCCCACAAGTATGCAGTCGTCCCTATCGTCAATGTCTAACAGTCGCCGTTCGCGGACATGTACCCACACTCACACGCAATTCCGACACACACTTCGCCGTGTTGATCTCTCGTTGATACTAGTACGCTGCATAGTCTCCTCACGACCCTGAATCTTCGCCACCGAGTGACATGTTTCTTGCAAGCTTGAAGTGTTAAACCTGTGCCGATGTTCTGGCATGCAGCAAGTAATAGATTCCGTTAAGCGCCTTCTGTTCCGGCGTGTTTGAAAACCCTTTCACGCTTCAGAACGAACAGGGTGCTTCAAACCATTGGCCCCTTCTCCTTGAGACCGCACAAACCCACGAGGCCCCGTGGCAAAGCCTCCTGCAAAACATGTGTTTCAACGGTCCAAGCAAGAACCCAGATGACGAAGATCCCAACTGAGCTGCGAGCTCCATTATCAAATAAATCTGCTTGGAGTCCTCGAAATACTCAAAGACTTTGATGATGTTCCTCAGGGAAGAAATGTTGACGATTCGTGCCTGGCTGCTAGGTTATGAAGTAGAAAGGGTGCTCCAGAAAGAAGGCACCTAAGCATACTGGAGATAAGTATTGGGGCCTGTCGAAGAATGCTCATTAGGCGGTTGCGATTAAAGCAGGTTTCGAACTGTCAACAGTTTGCTGTGTTGTCTGTCTTGTTCAAGCGACATCTTAACTGCCAGCAGCCTGGTTGCTCCAAAGCACTGCAACGTCTAATCCCGAGGGTCCCAACGCCACATAACCAATTGAATCTGAGCCGAGCCAGATGCGGATGATCCATGGAGAACATGGTCTTGATTTCGCGCTCCAGCCTGCGTGCGGGGGAGATCTTGAAGTTCCACACTCCAAGCAGCTCTGATGACAACGGTGATGACAACGATGATACCGATAAGATGATGAGGAGGAGGACGCGGAGTGAGGTACACCAGCACGATTCCTCACAGTTCCTCACACGCTGATGGCAATATTCACAAGGCTGCTCTCTCTCTTGGAATCTGGATCTGACTTCGTACCTGAACCCGACCCTCCAAGTGGAAGTCACAACAACAGAAAGGCGCAATAGCAGCCTGTCATACTTGGGCACGCGGCTCTTGACGATGATCTTCAAAGCCTGGCAACCCGCTACCAGCTGCCGTCAGAACTACAAACGCTCTGGGGCTCATCTTGGGCGACTTGAACTTACTGGACACGTGGATCAAACAGAGATGCAAAGCGTCGTTACGAAGACCTGCAGAGTCCAAAACCCTCAACCCTGAGCCGAACCTCAAGCCCTGAAAGTGACAGTAACGTAGTAACCCTGCTTTTACATCAAAACTCAGCGCCTCAGCGAGCTCCCCTTAGACTCACAGAAGTAGAGAGAAGCGTGCTGGAACAGCCCGATCGACGCCCGTGAGCTTCTCCTGTGCACGACCTGAGCTCACATTGAGATTGGGATCCGAAACTCTCACATCCTTTCGAGCCTAAGCCCAAAGCGGCAACTCGGGCTAATAGCTGAGTCCGCCGCAGACTTTGGCGAAGCCGCCCTCGCCCAGAACGTCACTGCAGCGGCCGAGCACGGAAGGAATGGTTCTGGTTGGGGACGTAGGGCACATCGCAAACATGTGTGTGTGTGTGTGTGTGTGTGTGTGTGTTTGTGTGTGTGTGTGTTTGTGTGTGTTTGGGCGGACTAGTCCGTTACCCT